AGTACTTATTGATAACTTTTTTAATAACCCTTTGATTTCAGGAATAAATTGTTGATCTTTTGACAATTATTCTGATAAATATTTCGAACATTTTTCTATATTCTTCAAAATTGTTTCTGCTTTTAGAAAAAATGCATGCCTATCACATATTTATGCTCCCTTTTAGAAATATTGCAAATGTTTTTAGAATGTATTTCATTTCTAAGCAACAACGCGAATAGAATTGGGAATATGCGCTCAATTATTCTGATCATAGTTTTAAATGCAGCATCAAAAGACAACCGTTGCTTTTTGCATAATCTAATCAGAGTTTTTATTTACAAAATGTTTATATACACGTTTTTGTTGTCGTTCCTCGCCAACCTTCCACTTATGACTACGTTTCTCCTCCTGCTTCATCTCATGACTGCGACTTCTGCTTCTTGGCCTGTTTGCGCAGCTTGGAGACATTGTGCCGCAGCTTGCGCTTGAAGATCAGCTCCCGATTGACCGCTTTTAGATCGTCCATGCTGCAGCTCTTGATGTTGCGCACCGTACGCGAGATGAGCTCGTCCGTGATCTCGATCTTGGTGCGGGACAGACGCAGCTGGCGTGCATTCCGTCTGGCCAGCTCCTCGCGGTACAGGAATAAATGATACGAGACGGTTGGCTTCAGCAGCTTGTCGTGCTCCATTTTTGTCTAAGTTGTTGCTGTTGCTTTGCTTGCCGTTGATCAAATGTGAGACAATGTCGCATTGAACGTGGCTTATATGCGTCACGCTTCTACCTGGATGCTACCTGTACCTGTACCTGTGCCTGGCCTCAGGTCGGGCAACTGTAAATATTTGTGCAAAAATATTTCGTGGCTTAATCCGGCCTAATCCACTTTGAACGCCAACCGTTTGGCTTACCAGCCATAACACACACTTATATCCATATCCATATGCAAATACAAATAAGCGCAAAAGCCAGATGCTCGAATGCAGCGAGGCATGAAAGAACTTGTCGCGTTCTCAACGGGGCGTTGAGAAACAGGTCACTACCCCAGATGATATGGCATCTATATGAAGAGCTTGAAGGGGTAGGTAAAGCGAATGGTCCCAGTCATTTGTTAGGCAATTTATACACAAATTGGCATTGATCCACATTTCTGTCATTTTTTTATTATATGAATTGAAACATAAGCTGCCACTGGAATTGTGGTTCAACTATATAATGTTTATCTAAAGCAGATATGTCTTCTTTATAGATATATCTTACGAATCGCAACAGAAGCTAACCCCAGAAATGTGGGTCAACTATAAACTGTTTGTCCAAGCAAGCTTATCTCCTTTATGGTATCTTAGGCCAAGTTGGCTAATGAATATATATCTTAAATATATCACAAAGCACGGAGATTGTATGACCCGAAGAAGTGAGGAAAAAGGAGCAACAATTTCATTTAATATGCATTTCACTTTCCGCAGTGAATGTGCTTCTTCTTTCCATAATCCCACTCTATGCATAAGAAATGCTTTCCTGATTAACTTCGGTGCTTGGAGTCCGATCCTTATGAAACTTTCAAGGCTTGAATATGTACTACAAAAGTTCCTACATACTTCAGCTCAAGGCTTTCATTTTAACAATGTCACTTTTCCGATTTGGGAGATTATCCGAAAAGTGAAATGTTCTGAATCTATTTATATCATCCAGAAACCTATATATCAAGTTTGGGGTATCTATATATGGTATATACCAGACGAGAGCCTACACTCTAACTGTGCGGAGTCTAGCTTTTAAAATCTTCGAGGTATGTTAAAAACTCGGATACTCTTTGACATTTACATGAAGTAAGCCATCGTATACCCTGTATGCACCATTTTCCGAGTTCTTTCTAAAAGAATACACGCATCATTTTGAGTATTTACGATAAATATCGTACTCGTAACAATAAAGTTGATTAAGTTTTGTCTCTTTTTGGTTGAATACGGGTTCGATATATATTTACTCTTAAAACGGAAGTCCCAATTTCTATTAACTGAATGGTTTAATAAACAAGCGTTCACTATGCTGACATAACGAATGTTGCAATTAACGAGCCTTCACTGTACTCTGCCATTACTTATGCTTTTTGGTCAGCTTGGTTTTCCGTGCGTTGTTTTCCTTTTTTGGTAACATTTCCAGCAAGTTCTTGAAATTTGTTTGTTTAGGTGCTTTTGCTGCTGTCATTGTCACGTGTGCTTCCAAGTGTCGCATCTTGCGGCTCATTAGCATAGCCATTGTGAGAGTCAAAAATTGTTCTAGAACTTGCACAGAGCTCGCGTGAAATTCCCGATGCCTTTTGTGCACCTAACAACTTCCAGGTAATTCATTAAAGTGCGTCATAATGAAATATATATGCATGCGCCTGACGGGCAGAGGGCAGAGGACAGTCGGGTCACAAATGGCATAATCCTTTTATAATTGCCAGCCAGTAGCGGGAATGTAGAATAACAAAAGGATATTCGCAGCCGGATTAAGAACTTGGGAAAGACCACGCGCCGGCTTAAGCAAATGCGACGCATCAGCGTTTTATGAGCGCTTGCCTCGCCCCGCTGCCACGACATTGCGGGTCAGGTAACAAAAGGTCAAAGCCAAAAATGAAGTGCGGCCATCGATGTGAACAGCAATAGCTGCGTTTGACAGCTCGCAGACAGCTTCCAATTCAACGCGCTCAACGCTCGCAACTCGCCGCTCCAAGCTCCACCTGATCAACTCAGCGGGGAGAGGGAGGAGGAGGAGGAGGTGCCCGGGGCAGCGAAGTTGTGCTCGTTCAGGCATCCAAATTTATCGGTCAGCTGCTGCTCAACCACAATTATAATCAAGACAACCGAAAAGCGATTGAGAGTGCCCGACTAGAAGATACCTCGCATTAGCTAAACTTGCTGAACAAGCACACACACACACACACACACACACTCATCGCCGCACTTTACGCAGCAGATTCTTCTTCTGCGTTTTCTTCTGCTGCTTCCTCTTCTGCTTCTGCGTCTTCTAGCCACGGCACACACATTGTTTATAGGATATAAAGTCTCGATAAACCTCGGTATTTGTAGTCCGATCTTTATGAAATTTGCATGGCTTAAATATGACTTGAAATAGAGTGTGTACATCAAAGCTCTGCCTACTGGAATGAATTTTTCTTTATAAATATATATAATTAATACTATACTATGATGGGGGACGTATACAAAAGGCAACTTTGTCCAAGTATACATGTGTAAACTATATACATTTTAAAATGGAGGTTTTTTTATAGAGTCTGAGACTGTCCTAATAAATATGTATACTATATATACTGCACTATACTCGACTTGAATACCAAGTCCGTTTTATCTCGCTCTTAAAATCATTGACCTACGCTAAGAAGACAGACTTTATAGAACTGAAAAATGGGAGAAAGATAGATATCGACAGAACATAATGCAATCGTTTCTTGTATGTTATAAGAGAATAGTTTCCGTAGTGTCCAATAGTGAAGCAGCTTCTCATCCCGACCAAGAATTTATGTACTCTGTGGTAATATATCCCCAACTTTTGTAGTTCTCCAAGCCAACTCATGCCCATCTGACCCATAATAAATGTACTCTTTGGTGCTGGCCTTCTACCTTTAACGTATATTACTCAATACCCTTTTCATTCATTTTGAATGGGTTCGGGCGATGAGCCAAAGTCTCGATTGCTCTTTTCATATTTTCATTATGAGGGATTTTTCAGATTTTTGTAGGTCGTTTATCGTCTACGTCTACGTTTTCGTCTTTGTGTGTGCCTCGCGGGCCCTGCATTTAGCGTCACAAAACGAGCAGCGTCTTATAATGAATGTATTTATACATATATGAGCATTGCGAGGCATGCATAAGGCATAGCAAAAGCATTAGCATAATATGTAGGAAAGAATTTTCAACTACGAAATGTCGCACTTCAAATACCCTGACGGATATGTATCATATGCCATGAATCTCTCTACATTTCGGCTTGAATATGTAAATCGTATTCGAATTCCTTGAACTTTTCATAGAGTATATTTTGCCTGCTGCCAAGCAAGTCTTTAAACTGAAAGAGCCTATGCGAAGGGCATTTAAAATAAAATATTTAAAGCTTAAGCGCCCTGTCGAACTTTCACTGGCAGAGCTCGATGTGGGCTTTACGTAGTTATAATTGTTTTTGTTGTTACGGTTGTTATCGTTGTTGTTGTTGTTGTTGAATGCAGCCGAGCACATTTAAAAGAATTTTTGACAAGTCGCAGCGCTTAGCGCTTTGAGTGAAAGACAAACAATGGAGCGGGAATTTTCACTTTTCTTTGGCACACATTTTAACATAATTATGCTAAAGTTTTAGTTGAAATTGCGCATTTAGAGCACTTCGCATCGGCAGCTCAATTAAATTAAGTGAAAATAATAATTATGCTCAAAGTCATTTTCAAATGTTAGCCCTAGCCGGCGAGGGGCAAAGAAGGAGAGGGGGGGAGATCAGACGGCTGGACGCGTGGATTCGTTCATAAATAAATATTTAATAAGCACTCCGTGGAAGAGGGTCGCGCACGGCCAGAATAAATTGTATTTCTGCAAAAATGAAAGCACATTTATTAGGCCAAGGGCTACAAGGACATGGAAGTAGTTCAAGCGAATTAATTAGTTGGGCTAATGAAAAATTAAGTTGACTTATTAAGCGCCAACGCGCGGAAATGGCGGGCGGGGGGCGCAAGTGTGAGCTGGGCAAAGGCAAGGGGATTTTTTAAAAGTTTATATATTCCGCATAGCCTTGATTTTTGGTATATGGCCACATTTGATAGCCATATGTCAGCCTTGAACATTTCATTTAAGTCCGACAACGAAAACTCGAGTTATTAACGAGTGAATATTTCATATTTGCTAGGGTATCTATGAGTGCCCCATGCAAACACTTTCGCTTTTACGACTACAATCTAGCCAAGCATTTTCTAGAGAGCTTGGCATATTAATACAAAGGTCGAGTCATAAATTGTTGCTGCTGTTCAACGAAAATTCAGTCAAGACAAACAAATCAAAGGCAACCTTTGCAAGGGCCGTCAAACATTTAACAGCATTTGCAACAGAAGCCAGAGCAAGAGAAAGAGCGCAAACGTGGGTTTTACCTAGGCAACAACAATCTGGTGATTCGATAACACGGCATCGCACTTTGACACCAGGTAATTACGCGAACCGCGCACAGGTCACAAGCACAGAGAAGCCAGAAGTCCAGTTGCCGCAACAGGTAGCTAGGCGCCTCCCCCTGTTGGCCCAGATATAAATAATCCTGGTAAAGTACAAGAGGACATCATTCACAGCTCGCACTGCCAAGCAGTCACAGCCACCACATCCGCTCGAAGCAACTGAGTTCTCGAAGCCCAAACAATTGCCATGGAAAGCCAACGCAACAACAGCCAGAATCGTCGAGGTGCACGTCCGAGCGTGGGCTATTTGCTGTTCCAGTATCAAAGTGAGCTGACCCGGCGGCATGCGGAGCCGACACGTTTGTCGCGGACCAAAATCCACATTATCGACGGCCTCGTCTCGCGCACCATACGCCAGCTGAAGCACTGCAGCGTCGAGGAGCTGCAGGCCTGCAAGCGGGAGCTCGTCTACAAGGAACAGCTGCGCGACGAGCTGCGCAGCATGCGCCGACGCAAGAGCTCCAGCTTCAGCTCCTGTTCAAGTTCCAGCTTCGCATCCGGCTCAGCTGATCCGCCCGTGAGGAAGGCGCCCAGCACGCCGCCCAAGCCCCGTACCGCGTATCAAACGAAAGTAACCATCTTTGGCCCGGAAATATTCGTCTAGATTTACGCAATTTGTATTTTATTTTATTATTGTACATTGAGTTCCAGTTTCGTATTTTGACCTTAATTGTTGACGATTAAAAATCAAAGAATTTCAAGTTGAAAACAAGAGCAAAAAATCTTTGCAATTAGTGAACAGGAAAGAGGAGAAGCTCTTCTTTCCGGTTGACGACGAATGAATACTCTATATGTGGAGTTAACCTCCCTCTAAAGAGCGTAAACGTTGAGGAGAAAAACTTCTCTTCAATAGGAAAGAGAAGAATCCTTTCCGGTTGACGACGATTAAATACTCTACATTATATGTATCCAACTGTCTGCCTTTAAGGAGCTCAAACCTTGTGTGTTCCTTGAAGAAAGGAAAGAAGAGATTCTTTTCCGGTTGACGACGAATAGATACCCTTTCAAATATACTATATAACAAGTGGAGTTTAGTTAATCCCAATCTCTTTTATACCTTTGAACCAAGTATCCCCTAAGATCTTGTATAGAAAGAGCATTCACTTTGTGCCTTCCTCTCTCATGTAACACACTTCGTGACAGTATTGATTTACCCTCAGCAGAGGGTATTGCAAATGTCAATTACAGCGCTCTGTGTTTGTTGTAGGAGTGGAAATTCCTGTTCTGAAAGCCAGTTTCGTCTAGGCTAACTGAAAAATGTGTGCCGCACAGGCAAATGCCAGACGCGACTCAAAGAGTTCCCACGGACAGGAAAAAAAAAATTGGCCAGTTTTAGCTGCGATTGCGGCCCGCAGACAGCAAAGAATTCGGCTTAAAGTTCAATCGTGCTGCAAGTGTTATTTTCGGCTGCAGAGATCACATTTTATGGCCCAGTCAATGGACGTGAAAATCTATTCAATACTCAATCAAAAGACTTGAACTCCATCTGTGTCTTCTTTTCCAATTGAATGCGATATGCAAATCGGCTGCGATGTAAAATGCATTAATGAATATATTAGCTGGAAAATCGGAGAAATGAAGATCCACACGCTTTTGACCATTTGGCCGAGTTGGCCTAAGCCGGGGCCCGAGCTACAGGTTCTTCCTGTAGCGCCGCTTGTCAATGAAATAATCAAACAGTTATGCAGTCCATATACAGTGAATGCTCGCTAACTGGAACACGTTGCGGTTTTTTAAATAAATGATTTTACATTAAATCCAGTCTATATCCCATTTCTGTAGATGCACAAATTTTTGAATATACAGAAATTTGTATTAAATAATTGCATGAGCATAGCTTTAAGTATTTTCTGAAAATTTTGAATGGACTTTTCCGGGAAAACACACTTTATGCGCATTCTTTTAGAGATAATTCCTTGCCTAATTTTTAGAAAATCGCGAACTAATAAAAAATTATCAGAAAATACTCTTATTTGTTTCATTTCTGGAAATTTTTATTACAAGCGATAATTTTTTATAATCTTTAAAATTTTAACAAAATTGGAAGCTGACGAAAATGATGTTGATTAATAGTTATACGATTTGTTTCAAAACAAATTTGTTGGTAAACTGATCTAATTTTTAACAAATGTTCTGCTGCTTAATTGCATATTTTGGTTATTATTTTGAAAAGAAATTTCCTGTCTTCTTTCCAGACATAAGTGTTTGCTTAAAAGTATTTCATAATATTTAGTATAATAGTGGAAACTCGGGAAAACTAAGTAAAGGGGTTGTTATCTCCATAATACATAAGAAAAAAACTTTAGTTCAGAAAATATTCTTTTCTTTAACCACAAAAAAAAAAAAAAAAAATAATAATAATCCAATTCTTAAGAATTTAAGGGACGAGTTAAGGCTGTCTTGCGTTCAGAGAATTCGCTTTTTTAACACATTCTTCTCATATAAAATAAAATAAAAATGCAAATTTTTCGGCAAGCTTATAACAATCCAATTCTTAGCAGCTCTCATTACTGAGTGTTCACTGTATTTCTGTTCTAGTTCCATCCGGCTTCAAGCATCGATATGCATTTAACATACCTCTTTTATTTAAGTTTCTCGAGCTATTCCGCTAGTTTGTGCTGAATGTTGTTGTTGTTGTACTTGTTGTTGTTGTTGTTGTTGTGTTTGCTGTAGAAATTTGTTGCTTTCTATTTGAGCTTGTATTTATTATATTTGTACATGCAGTGGAATTATGAACACAATGTTAATAGCCTGGCAAACAGAACTTGTGCCGTTTTTTTTTTCTTCTTATTTTTTTTTATCTTTTTTTGAACACTTTTTCGAGCACTTTTCGAGTGAAATTTCGTGCAGCTGCACTTTTTTTTTTTTGTTAAACACGCGCTGCGATTAGAAGAAGAAGCGGCTGAGTAATTGATTTAAAGGCTATTTTTAAAGCCAGGCTAAGTAATGAGCCGAACCGAAATGAACCGAAATGAACTGAAGTGAACCGAAATGAACTGAAATGAACTGAACTGAACGAGAAATGCAAAAGCGCAGCACACAGCGAAAATAAATGGAAAACGAGATTCCAAAATAAAAGCCGAAAATGCAAATGGTAACACGCACACAAACACACACAAAGCTGGAGCTAGAGCTGGAGCTGGAGAAACACAAATAGACCGATAAACAGTGATACGAAAACAAAATGCAGAGAGCGACGCTTTTGTTTTTTTATTTTTCTTTCTATCTTCTGACTTGTTGTTGCTTGTAAAACGTTCGTTCTTCGGCGAAGAAGAAGACGCTACGGTAATTGTTAACGGGTTTTGGTGGCGATCGGCTCAGCTCCTAGACGCCGCTTGTGAGCCACACGACGGTTCACTGACGAATGACCAAAGTTTTCGGCTGCAGCTGCAGCTTTCTTGTTCGAACTTCGAAAAGCCGCCGTTCGTCGAGTTCGAAAGAGAGCAAGCGCTCTCTCGAGCGCGCGCCGCAATGATCGCAAGTTTGCCGCTCAAGTCTTTCGTTTAGAATTTTTTTTTTTTTGTCAGCTATTGATTTATTGTTTAACAATAACTGTTTATTACATTGTGCGTTCGTTTTTTTCTACTTTAATTTTTTTTTTTTTTGGCAGCATCAGCAGCATTTAACAGTGGTTCATGGTAGAACCAGACAACAAAAATGAAAACCGGATTTGTGTGACACACATTGAGGCGCTTCTCTGTCTGGTTCTATGTGAGGCGCTATAATTGTGTTTTTTTTTATATATGTATGTATATTTGATGACAACAGGTTCATCAATTTAAATACATATGCATATATTGGCATTTACATTGCCGACATATGCGCACTTGTGCATACACAGACATACAAATAGCCCCATATTTATCTCTTTTTATTGATTTTCAACATTACCTTTTTCTCTCTTGATGTATTCTAATATTTTTAATTTATAAAAATAATTTGTAATTTAACTCTAAATTTAAGAGCAGACCACATTAATGCTCTCTCTCCAATTTTATTAATTTTTCTACAAAGTAGTTCTATTTGTGTGGCCTCCGCTGTGTATATATATAGCTTTCGCTGCGCTCGCGCTGTCAACTTTTACTCTCAAGCTTGGCTCTGCTCTCACTGTTAGTTCTTCTTCTTCTACTGCCAAGGCTTACTCTCTCATAGTTTGCTCTGTTTACTTCAGAAATTGAGGCAGTTAAGTTTTTCATGCGCTGCGTCGACGCTGACGTTGACGCCGACGTCGCTTTATTGCTGTTTCAGGTTTTAGTCTACCCAATGACTTCTTAACGGTTCGCCACTTAATGCCTCGTTTTTTGTGTGTACTTTTGCAGTCGCTTTTTGTCGCTCGCTCGGCGCTCACATGCTGCCCCCCCCCCCCCCCCCTCGGCACACTCCTTCTTTGAATTGCAGCTGTTATTGTCATTTTGCTTTAAGCTACAGCCTCGGCTCAGCTCTGCGGTTTCCATGTACTGCCCGCTTCCCCAGCTCCCCTTTTGCCCTTATCAACAACATCGCGTTGTCAACATATTTATACCCCGAACTCATTGAAAATATAGAAGAGAGGGTATATCGAATTTGTGGAAATTTATGTAACAGGGAGTAGGGAGTATCTCCGAGCATGAGCCGAACTGATCTAGCCATGTCTGTCTGTGTAAATGCGTTGATCTCGGCAACTACAGAAGCTATATACCTCAAATTATAGGTATCTTTTCTCCTATACTAAAAGCAAATAGATACTTACTTCGATATCGTCTCCCATTTACATTATATCGATAAATATCGATGCTGAAGCTTGGATTTTTAGGCAACTCGAAGATTTCAACAGCTAGAGACTCCAAATTTTGGTTGAAGGTTCTTTTTGGATACCCCTCTTCTCTCCCTAAACATGAAGAACAGGCACATTTTGAAATGCACAACGTTGCGCTTTGGTATGTACACATGGTAATATGTCGTAATAAAGCATAATGATCGGACCAAAGTTAAACCGAAATGCCTTGCCCATTTCAAGGGAGTTTCAAAGGGAATACCATTCCAAAGTAATTTCTTAGGGTATCTCGCAGTGGGTCACTTGGGCCCGACACAGCTCAGTTACATGCTAGTTTTTGTTGCGCTTGTTTTCACGGCAAGTTTTCCATGCCACGCTTGTAGGGCTGCCCCGGGCGCGGTTTTCTGGCGGACTCTGAACGCTGCAACCGCAACCAGCTGCCGATATCGGATCTGATTTATAGACGCGCGCTCCGTTTGCCGGCTTGTTGTCAATTTGTTGAAATATTTATTTACAATTTTCACAATTGCCAATTGGCATTTGTTGGCCCACTTTTACTCGACTTGAAGCTGCGAGCTCCGGAGTTGCCACAAATAGGCGTCTAATTTAAATAGTTGCCGCCCGAAAGTATGCTACGACTTTCGGGGTTTGCGTCTAGCCGAGACACAAAGCCGCGCCCACTAATTAGTCGACACTCTTTCGTCTGCTGCATGCGATTTTTGTTTGAGCCACGCGAAAATCAACAACGTTGCAAGTTCTCGTTGTTGTTGCAAGCTCTTGTTGTTGTTGCGTGTTGGGTTGTTTTGTTTGCCCGCCGCCGCATGAGCTCTTAATTAGCCCGCAATGAGTTGCCGATATGCGATTTGTAAGTACATATTTTGTGTTCTTTTCGCTGACATAACAATTTTTTTTTTTGGCCTGTCTAATTACGGGCCACACTGTGGCCCAGTTTTTGCCTTATGTGAAGCTTCTTCTAATTGCAATTCGAACAATTTTCTAATGATGACAGGCCCGGGCCACAAAACAGATAATGAGCCATTTGACTGGGCCCCGTTAATTTGTGGTCTTAGGTGGCAGGTGGGCGGCAGGTGGCAAAGACAAAGTTCAACAATTATCTGATATGTGCGGAAAATTAGATGGGCGCGTTAACTGATCTGTTGGCGTTGCCCTGTTAACTGCCACAATTAAATTCAATGCTGCAGCGACCCACATCCCACAAGGCGATCCATTTTTGACCTTAAAGATCCAAAGAGCCCACGATATATTTTGTCATCGATAACAATCTCGATAATCATGACGACCATGGCGATATATTTTGTCATCGATAACAATCTCGATAACCACGACGTGCAAATAGTCAGTTTGTCCGATACATGCTTTAACCGATAACAATCTCGATAACCATGTCCAATGCATTCTGTCATCGATAACAATGCCAAAAAGCAGTTATTTTGTCCAATAAATTCTGTCATCGAAAACAATATCGATAACAATGCCAAGCAAACAGTCATTTTGTCCGATAAGTTCTGTCATCGATAACAATCTCCATAGCCGTGCCAAGCAGTAGGCCTCAGGAGAATGATCAAAAGACGTTTTATGGGGCAACGAATCCCAAAAATCGTACAACAATTTGGAACTACACTGACGAGCGTACACAGCCTACAGTTTTGATAAATAAATATACATAAGTATATATATATATCAAGCTTTTCGAAATTTATAACCTCTTTGTAAAAGTTCGAATACTATGCGCAACATGGTGATCGCTTACGAGGTGGAAAACAAGACAATACCAAATTACATGAAGTACGTGCTGGGCGGTACAGCGGGCATGATGGGCTCCTGCATCGTACAGCCGCTCGATTTGGTGAAGACCCGCATGCAAATATCAGGGGCCAGTGGCAAAAAGGAGTTTAGCAGCTCGTTCGATTGCATCGCCAAGGTATTCAAATCCGAGGGCCTCTTGGCCTTCTACAATGGCCTCAGTGCCGGCTTGCTGCGACAGGCCACGTATACAACGGCCCGCATGGGTGTCTATCAGATGGAGATCGAATCCTATCGGAAGCATTTCGACAAGGCGCCAACAGTGTTGGCCAGCATGGCCATGGGCATATTTGCGGGCGCCTGCGGCGCCATGGTTGGCAATCCGGCAGAGGTGTCCCTCATACGGATGATGTCCGACAATCGATTGCCGCCAGATCAGCGCCGAAATTATAAGAATGTCGGCGATGCAGTCGTCCGGATAATACGCGAGGAGGGTGTCTTTACGCTGTGGCGCGGCTGCATGCCGACTGTGGCACGCGCCATGGTCGTCAATATGGTCCAACTGGCCTCCTATTCGCAGTTCAAGGCCGCATTCAAAAAGCACATGGACGAGGGTCTGCCGCTTCACATTGTGGCCAGCATGTGCTCCGGCCTGCTGACAACGATTGCCTCCATGCCGCTGGACATGGCCAAGACGCGCATACAGAACATGAAGGTGGTCGATGGCAAGGCCGAGTATAAGGGCGCCATCGATGTCATCCTAAAGGTGGTCAAGAATGAGGGTTTCCTTGCCCTGTGGAAGGGCTTTACACCCTATCTGGCACGCATTGGGCCACACACGGTGTTCTCATTTGTCTTCCTCGAGCAGCTCAACAAGGCCTACTACAAGTACGTGCTCGGCTCGGAGAGCTCTGGACCAGGTCTGTAGCCAGAATGCGTTGGCTAAATCAGCTTAAAGCCAGAATATGCAGAATATACACGCGCAGGCAGAATATGTCAAATTGAAGCACTCGCGTATATATATATTTATAACTGCATAATCAGAGTTTGTTATAGATGGGTTATTTCTAAATCGCTTGATTATCTGTGTACCGTTCAAAATTTACATTAAATGATCGATAGTAATCGATTAGACATTATCGTTTCTTGCATCTGCGCTACGATTTCGATAGATTTTGTATGCTTTTGTGGGCCCTCGCTGTTTCCTACTTGTACTCTGGAATTTGGAGGCCACATTCCTCGCATTATTGTATTAGCTTTATTCGATCGATAATCGAATCGATTTATCGAATATTTCTTAATCATTTGTTATATATATTCTAATGGCTTTTTGTCTGGAATATTTGCTAGTCGACTAATCTCGAAATAGAATTTATATTTCTCCCATTTATCGCATTAGTTAAAATTATTAGCCCATCATCAGCGCATTATTTGCGTGCGTCTGTCCACCCGTCCGTCTTTATGTACGTATTTGATCTCAGAGACTTTAAGAGCTAGATAACTCCGCCTTTTGCCCCTCTATTTCCACATAATGAATGGCTTAAGACTGATATTTCTAACATAGCTCCTCCTAGTTGTTGTTTTATATATTCAAAACCAACATCCCATTCTCTAACATATCTCGGTCATTATAAGAGCTATAAGGTCCAGAGTTAATCAAATGCGCGTGTTTGTATCTGGAATGGACTGTGGCAGCTCGGAGTTTGTTTTGGTATTTCCTTTTCTATAATTGAATTCAGCTAAAGAGATTTAACACAAGAGCTTCCAGCTTAGAATTTCCATTGGGTGAGCTACCTATGCTTTAGCGTGTTTTCCATTTGCGATCAACTTGTGTCGCATGCGAGTTGTGTCAGTTATCGCATGCGATATAGCAACTTTTATCGGCACACAGACAGGCGCATTTCTCTCTTGGAGCTCTCGCTCGGCTCGGAGCGAGTGTGGAACGAGTGTGCGAGGTCTTATCAGTCGGGCAATTGGATTCCAGTCAGTTGGGCTTGTGCAGCTCGATCGTGCGGTCCGGTTTTGGGCACAGTTTGCCGTGTGGCGCCTCGCAAGGAGATTCCTGTGTACAGCTAAATTGATGCCACTTAAGTGTGTATGGGTCGTCAGGTTTTTTGTGATCTTCAAGTGAGCTGCAGCTCAAGCGACGCGGAAGTGTTAATTTAAAGTCTAAATACGCGGCACAAATCAGTGTTTGGATTCGTGAAGCCCAACCAAGTGCCAGCTATACATACAAAAGATATATGTATATATCTATATCTGGAGCTGAATCTCTGGCTACAAAAGTGTCGCTCTATCTCTATCTCTGCCCATCTGTGTGCCAGTGTGTCATTATTGTAATTCATAAATTAATAATTAAGTGCTTCTTAATTTATGGCCTGCAGCAGATAGCTTGTAAATTGTAAAAATTCCTTCAGCGATCATCAACGGATATCAGCAACAGCCGCGACGGGCCTCTGACCAAAGGTATGTTTCCCGCTCGCTTTCCACAATCTCAAGTTTGAATTATGGCAGCTACTCGACTAGATTAATTGATTAGCCCCGGCCAACGATTGCTCATGCCTGAGCACACAGATCAATTGATTGATTGGGTGGGTTTTTAGTATTGCGCCCATAAAGTTGAATGACTCGGGCGGCTTTATAATGTATATATTTAGTATGCTATACAATATGAATTATTGCACTGTACAATTCATATTTAAATCTAAATGTATATTGATTATATAATTTAAATTTGCTTCGCTTCGTGTTTATCTAATTGTTATACCCTCAACCTGACGGGTATATAAGTTGGGTGCCAATTTATGCAACGGGCTGTTGGAGCTCATCAAGCTTGATACACTCTTGGCTAGCATCAAATGCAATCCAAATTAAATTCCATTTTTAATGAACAATAACAAGCCCCATTTCTATAAAATCGATAATAATCGTTGTCTAAATCTGGGCTTTTGAAAATTTTTTTAAATTTTTTTTGAAGATCTCGTAAGCTACAAAAGCTGAACACCTGAACTTTCGAATGTATATTCTCCTGTACTACTTACTTCGATATCCTCTCCCAATTTCATAATAACGATAAATATCGATTTTCACACTTGGTTTTTTAAGCCTAAGTCGAAGATTTTAAAAGCGAGAGACACCTAACAAGGCATATAGACTCTTGTGTAGTGTACAGAGATCCAGAATAGTTGGGCTCTGAAAATTGTATAAAGATCGCTCAAGAAACATCCAAGCTAATCGGGAACGTGCTTCTCATGGAGTAGGGGCAGGTTAAGAAGAAAAGAAGCACAGCTCCTATGTAGACTGCACAGCAAAAATTTAAATATTTGTAACTAAGCAGCTCATTGCTGGCTGCAGAGTATCACCCAGTCGATCACTGCCCGACTATTATTTGCTTTTCAGCTGTGAGAACGCAACTGGCATTCGAAATAAACTCACAACAAACTGACAAATGCAGCTTCCTCAGTCGAAATCCCCCCTCAACGACACATGTCGAACGCCTGCTGGCCCGACACTTCGATTAACATTCAGCTCTGCCCTCCTCTACCACCGTCCCGGCCTAATTGCTGGCTGTCAGGTGGAAAGAACAACAACAAAAACACTGGGAAAACCGTTGGCTAGAGAGCTGCGAGGCGGACAACAATTAGATATTTACTTATACTATTTGCCAGCTGCTGATAATGAGAAAAGCTCTGTCAATGACGCCTAGAACACTGGGGACTATTTGTCCACAGATAATGCCTTAGATTAGAAGAAGAGCCGACAACGAGAAGCACTCAAATTTACTTTGCCCCAGTTCTCTAATTACCCATATGCTGCTTAGGTACACAGTCAAAAAAAGTTCTGGCTTGCTTTTGAATTTTAGTTGTTTTTTTAATTATATCAAAAAATCATTTAACATTTGTAAGCTTGTTTTTTGCCTGATTCACAATTGCGATGCTCGTCGTCTTAATTAATGGATCGCCTTCCTCCCTCTCTCTTTCTCTCTCTTCATTTTGATGGATCCTCTCCCTCCATCTCGTCTTTTCTCTGTCCCCCTCACTTTCTACATCTCTCTTTCTCTCTCTCTCTCGTTCTCTGTTTGTCTTTTGCTATCTTCAATTCACATAGAAAGTGAACTTTGATTGCACTTTACGTTAATTTTCGCTTGGATTTCTCGACTAGTTTAAGCTTCGACATGCAGAAATGCTAGTCTTCCGATGAGAGTTAAGCTTAATTTAATCATTAGTGAGGGCATTTGTCAGTCGTTCAGCTGTGCTTACCTTCTGCTGCTCACCTGTTTGTTATGGCAATTAAAAATTTGTTGTTTGCATATGACTTATAATGGGAATATACAGCTCTAGAGTTGGCAACCAAATTTGGCCACGATCTGTGCTAGGTTTCAGTATCAGAGTCTGTGTGTCTGTTGTTGCTATCAGCTGACTCGATTAAAATGGTTCGGGGTAAACAAGAGATTTGCTACAACAATTGTCCACGTGTTGTGGGTGTGTGTGTGTGTGTATGTATACACCCAGCGCCGGTCAACTGGGCCTGAAAGACATGCTGTCGCACTGGCGGACAGGTTAAAAAGCACGCAGAGAGGTCACTTCTCACTCCTCAGAGTATAACCTTAAGGTATCTGCATTCAAAAGGCAATAAAGACTGCTCTGCAAGACAACTTCGCTGACATGTCATGCAGACTGTCTTGCAGGACAACTGGCATGACAAGTCCTCAAGCAAGTCAAGCATGACGCGCGCAATATGTAAATAAATATCCCATTGAAAGCCATTATTAAATAAAATGTCACTTCACCAACACATTTATATTGAATAATTAACCAAATTCGATTTTTAAATGTGGCAAAGCATTTAATTTGGCAATTGGCAAATGAAATTTTAATCTAATTGATATGCAGCTGTGCATCAATTACATTTGGTTATTGCCTTAGTCCCAATTGCTTGCAGTTATTTTATTAATTAAGTGAATTCATGAGTATTTACAGCATTTGACACACTTTCCACGTCGGCCTGATGTTTACACACTTTAAACAAACGACCAAGTCTTTTTGTTTTGATAATCGACTATAGCTACTAATTAGCTGAGCTGTCTGTGCATTCGTTTGTCAACAAAATAATTGTTTAACAACAAATGCACCAATAATATTACTAATAATAACAATAATAATAACAACAATCGGCTGGCCGCGTGCTATTTGCTGATTATTCAAATATAATTGCACATCAAGATTGGGGCAGCAAAAAACAATTAAGAGGTTCTAGTCGGGAGCTCCCGACTAGGGGATACCCTGAACCCTCTTTTTCCAACATCAAATGCATATATATATTCTATTTTAGAAGCTATATGTCAAGCTCGGTGACTCTAGCTCTTATTATTTACCAAAATTGTCCAAAACTCCGGATATCGATATCGATTTTTATCAATTGCTTGGAAACGGGGCAAGTTATTGATTATCGGAAACAAACTCGATCTGCGTGGGCACTAGGAGCACCTACATCTAAAATTTCTCTAGCTCTTATAGGACGGACGGACGGACAGACAGACGGACATGACTAGATCGACTCGGCTATTTATGCTGATCAAGAATATATATATTTTATGGGGTCGGAGATGCTTCCTTCTGCCTGTTACATAAATTTGGATTTTGCACAAATACAATATACCCTTATACCCATTTCTAATGGGTTCAGGGTATAAAAAAACTGTAATAAAAATCCAATTAAATTACAAACGCACGATATATTTTCTGTGTGAAGTGAACCCCCCCTAATTAAGTTAACGATGGGTTAGAGCATTTAACAAGCCGTCAATTGGCAGGGCAAACCGAAAAAATAAGTCAACAACCTGGCCAACCATAAACCATAAAATGTGTTCGATCAACGCTTTTCTGATACATAATTACAGCAATGCTCAACGGGCAGATACCCTAGTTGCAAAGATTACAGCAAAGCTGAGAATTGGGTTTGAACCATGGCGGTTCAAACTCAGCATCTAACACACATATAAACGGATTAGTTGAGAAGAGAAAGAGAAAATTTTTATCTTAACCAGGCTCGCAGCTATGTTGAACAAGTTTCACGATTTGAACCAAGGCACTGGTTCAAACCTTAAAGAGAAAT